AAGTAGACTTGTTGTAATGTGGATGAGTAGGTTTTTCTACTTTGATTTCTAGGTTGCTGATAGTAATATTTGATTACTTTAGCTAGCCTAGACCAGGAATTTTTGACCTGGGTCCTATAAACTTTTTTTTAATGTTTTATAATCTGTTGTATTTTATCTTACACATTTGAAAACACATTCTAGGAAGGAGACCATGAACTTCACCAGACTGCAAAGGGGACCATGAACCACAAAGGGTCAAGAACCCCCTCATTTAGACCATTCCACAATTCCACAAACAGATTCAACAATTGAGCACAAAGGGAGCCTAATATAGATTTGTGCTATGCAGCTGCTATGTGTTTTGCACTTTGATTTGAATGTACATAGTGGAAATGATTTGAGTCCTTCAGTTAAACGTAGAGCAGTCAGCTTGTTTGGAGTGATCTAACATCACCTGAGTTGGAATTTTCACAACATAGTTCTGTATATGATTTCCAGTCCCTGAGTAGTAACACCGGCTTCCCAACCTAAGGTTCCACTGCTCTAGCTATCTGTATTTTTTTACAATTTTATTATAATTGAATAGCATTCAGGTTTTGTTTTGTTTCATTTCCCACCTACATGCTTAACCCTTCCTAGTTCTGCTCAGATCATGTGTCTCCCCATATTTCCCTAACTTCTTCATAGTCATTTTTAAGGTATAGTAATATTCCATTTTATTCATGTGCCACAACTTTTTTGGTTCTTCTTCAACAGTATCTCTTTTGTTCATAGTTTTTTGTTACTACAAAAAGTGATGCTGGGAATCTATCCGTGTACACGGGCCTTTTCCCCTCCGTCTTTGATCTTCTTACGGTTCAGAAATTCAAAATAATTCTACTTTGTAATTGATCCTATATTGTATTGATTTCATATTGCAATTAATTCTGTATCTGTCTAAGTTCCCTTTCGGTGTCCTTTAGTTAAGTTTAGGAATTTAGCTTTCCCCTTTGAGTTAGTTTAAAAGTCAGCCTGACCATAACTCACCATAATTAAAAGGAAATTCCATACTATAAGCTCTTGGGTAAATTCCAAGACATCTGGTGTTATCTTTAAGTCCTGAGCCTAGCTCTAAGAGATACATCATCTCTGAATTTTCCTTGCATTAAGAAAAACAGTTATCTCCCTAATAAACATTTCTAGACATCAGAGAATCTGCTAATTCAGATGCACTGACAAGGTCTGCAATAGGCAGATGGATCCCATACATCAACCAGCAATCCTTAATGACAAAGGGTAGTGGCCATTAGTCCTATGAGGTTACTAGCCTGCTATCCTTGATGTAACCAGTCATGGTGTCCCTACCCCCCATGATGCCCTCCATCCCGTAACTAATTGCACTGTCGTCCCCACCTACCCAACTCTGTTCTTTGTTTTCTTGTATTTCCCAAATATTCTTGAAGGAATATATCCCATTAAGGGTAGGGAAGCTTGTCTTCCCAGTTGTGTAAAAAGGGGGCAACCAAAATATAGCCTATTTTTTTTTTCCTGGGCACTGCATTACAAGCACGTATCAGCTACTTTGTGATTTTGTTATGTCTATAGTGTGGTATCTGGGGACATCTAGGGACCAAACTGAGAATAGCAACCCACTTCTAAAGCTTAATTGGGATTCCATCAGCTCTGTGATTGTTAGTATGTGCTTCTGCTTAACTTTCAAGTACATGCTTCAGCAGAGAGCTTGGAAGGATGGAGTTTTAAAACAGCTCAACAATTTAGCAGGGATCCTCATAAATCTCTAGTGAGGGAGGAAGACTTTGCCAGTAAATGCTTCTCTGTGTCTGTCTCCTCATATCAGCTATATTTGCAAATCAAACCAGCTTTGTCCTGGGGCTTTATCGGCCCAAAGGGTTGTACAAAGAAAACTTTTCCTTGAGAAACACTCTCTCTCTCTATCTTTTGACTCTGGCTAAGTCACAAAGCAGACAATTTGTGGTATCATAAAGTACATAGAGACTAATCAGAGACCAAAGTGTAATTTCTTTACTGTGAGTTTCCAAATTGTGGTTTGAATGTTTTTATAAATACTGAAATTTTCTAGTCATTTTGAGTTAACATTCTTTAGGATTTGTTTTAAGGAAATTAAGAACATAACCGTGAATGTTAATTTTTTTTAATCACTCTTCCTCTGTAGAGTGACAGATTTATTGTTTTACAGCTAAGAGAGGAAGGTCATTTCACCAATTAGAAGTGACTTTGAAGTGAGTTTCAAAATGAAGGGGAAAAAAATAGGCTGCAGTTTTCAGTTTAAATTACCTGATACTTAAGTATAAATCAATTTAGAAATAATTTTTTGAATTAGTGTGTATTTTGAAATTAGAAACTTTGACCTGGCAGTTTTACAAATTGAAGTTAAGCAGTTTAGAAATTTTGCTGTAAATTTTATTAGATTCCCTGATTTGAGGATGAATGATAATTGGAGTAGATTTTGAATGATTTGTCAAGAGGAAAATGAAGCTCCTACTCATTTTTGTAATAGACTATGTGGAAGCCAGGGCAACTAAGTGGCACAATGGATAGTGTCAGGGTAGATAAAACTGTAATTTTTTAATATAATGAATCTTGTTGTTACAATACCCTGAGTTAATATAATAGGACGCAATTGCGAGTTAATTGTTAATATTATAATTAATATAATAGGATGTTAATATAAGTTAATATAATATTTAATATAATAGGATGAGTTAATATAATAGGATGCAATTATGAAAGATCCCACTGTTTTACTCTGAATTTGTAGTTAACTCTATATCCTATATAACTAAGTACATGAGTTCTTATGCTTGTCATCTACCTGTTCACAGTTCCATATTCATGTATAAGATAATGCCCTTGAAATATCTCAGAATGACATGAGAATAATTAGACAAAGATGAAGAAATTTGTGGGAACAAAGATATAAATCTATTAATTAGTGAGGTTAAATCAGGAATATTTATGTAATTATGAGGAAAAGAACCTCAGTGCAGTGTCATCTTGGAGGAGAGTAACTTATGAACTATCTTGTGTTACCTCAAAGGGAAACCCAATTTTACTTTACTTCACGGAAAACTTGTTCTCAGTCAAAAGGCCGCACCCAAGGACCTAGAGGGCCACAAGTGGCCTTGAGGCCGCAGGTTCTCCACCCCTGGTTTAGATAAAGACAGAAACAGCAAGGGGTATGTAAAAACTTAAATTCTCTTAAGTTTCGAATGAACTATGGGTTCCTGATTTGATGTTCTTCTTATAGCTCTTTTTTGTTGTTGTGGGTCCTTCTTTCTCACAGAGTATCAATGATATCACCAGGGTGAACCAATTCACTACTCCACCAACAATGTATTAGTGTCCATATGTGAGCACTCTCTCCAGGACTATTTCCATCCTTTGTCCTCTTTACCAATTTCCTGGGTATGTGATGAAACCTGAGAGTTGTTTTGATTTGCATTTCTCTTCTTATGAGTCATTTAGAGCAATATTTCTTATAGTCATTGCTACTTTAAAGAAGTCTGTTCATATCCTTCAATCATTCATCCATTGGGTATTGGTTCCAAGTCATATCTTTTTGTTAATTCCACATATATCTTGGACATAAAACCTACCTCACAGATATCTGAGGCAATGATTTTCCCCCTAGTTTTTTTTTTTTACTTATTTTCCTCACTGAGTTGATTTTATCTGTCTTTTTTTCCTGTCTATACTCCATTTTTAATCTTCAATAACTTATACAAATAGGTCGGTCAGAATGGAGTTGGTTCAATTAAATGTCATACTCTTTTTTAGTTTTTACTCCACTTTGAGCTTTCCTCTAGCCAGTCAGTGTGGTTTCCATGTACAAACCACGGATTCACAAATAATTCCCCTATCAATGACAGGTTCTTTCCTGTTTGTTAAAATTCAATTTTTAAATGTTATTCATGACACTTACCCAATTTTTTTTCTTGAAGAAATAATACATAAGCAGGAGCCAGTCTTTGACCTCTCTCAATTTTTTTCCTGCTCCAGATTTTCCAGTCTATTCCTCATCATCCTCATCTATTCCCACCTTTTCACTAAAGTCACTGAGTAACAAAGTATATATTGATTCACAAACTCCTAGAAAAAGCTTTCTAATCAGTTGCCTCTCCCCTCTCATCCACTTCTCAACGCCTTAAAAATGTTTTCTTCAAGAATCTCTTGTTGGAGTTAGTTTTTATATCACCTTAACTTTAGATACAACCTTCATATATCCCTCCCTGCGCCTATGCAGCAAAGCCATCCCTTGTAACAAAGAATAAAAAATGAACTAGGAAAAGAAGTTCGGCTAAACTAACCAACACATCGGCTTAGTTTGACAGTACACACGACGTTCCAAACTCATAGTTTCTCGCCTCGTCAAAGAAGCATTTCTTCATTTCTTTTAGCCTATGTCGGTTATCTCAACTTTAAAACTTCGTCCCATGTCTTTTTTCTTTCCTTGATCCCAAGTTTTTTTTAATCAAATTTTATTTATTTTTTGCAATTATCAAGCATTTAGTTTCTGCAACTTTTTTTTTGCAATTTCAAGCAGTTATTCCCTGCGACTTTTTAAAAATTAAATTATATATATTTTTTCAATTTCAAGCATTTAGTCCTTCCAACGTTTTTAAATTAAATTTTATTTTTTTCAATTGTCAAGCGCTTAGTCCCTGCGACTTTTGACCCTGCTGCCCTGCTAAACAAGCTGAGGAGGTCAAGGGCTGCATCTCCAGCCCAATTCCCTGACCATAACAGATGCTTAATTAATTCTCTTTGATTTTGAATCTCGGCGGCTCCATTAGCTTTTTCGGAATTACTCCGGGTAAACAGCGAAGTGCTTCCCCCGGCCCCACCCCCACCCCCACCCCCGAGAGCTGCCATGCTCCAGCAGTTAATGAGCGCCCAAGGAAATTTGGCCCTCGGTCCTTCCCGTAGTCTGCGGATGACGACAAGAAAGATGGCACCGCCCACAGGCCGCCGCACGTGCTTTTTCCGGGCCGAGCTGCCGGCGGCCCCGTTTACCGGAAGTGAAGTTTTGGGTCCCGCTCGGGGAAGAGCCGGTGTCGGTCCGAGAGCGAGGAGGACGGATCTCACCGGCCGCCGCCATGTCTGGGAGAAACAACAACAAGCTGCCCAGCAACCTGCCGCAGCTGCAGAACCTGATCAAGCGGGACCCCTCAGCCTACGTGGAGGAGGTGGGGCCGGAGAGCCGGGGCCTTGGGGACGGGGAGGGGGCGGGGGAATGGAAGGAGCGCTCCGGGGTCTCCCCCCCCTTCCGGAGAGAGACGCTCCAACCTAACCTGTGCTTCCTACCCCACGGTAGGATCAGAGCCGACGCCGTGGCGTTCCTTAGCTACAATGTATCGGGTTCCTGCTGTGTGCCGCACGCGGGATGCGCTCGCAAACTGCCAGAGGCCCAGAGCTTGGTAGACTTAGGGGAGAACGTAGAACCCTGTATCTAGAGCTAGGGGAAACCTTAGGCCGCCTCCCCTCGTGGTACAGATGAGGAAACTAAGGCTCGAGGTGGTGAAGTGACTTCCCCAATCACACATACGGATCTGAACTGGGCGCTTTGAATCCAGAGCTTTCTTTTCTATTTCCTATCCACCCCACCTCAAACCCCTACAAAAAAGTAAATACAGCCAGTCAACAAGCATACAGTAAGTGCCTACTTTGTGCACGGCACTGTGCAAAGCCAGGGGGTATGCAAAGAAAGACCAGACAATCCTTCCCCTCTTTTTATGTTAAGAATCCTTTTCATAATCTAGTGAACCGTATGGATGCCCTTGTCAGAATCATATTTTTAAAGGCATAAAGGATTATAAAAGAAGCCGATTATATGGAATACAATTAAAAATACATTTTGTAATATCACTGATTTTAATCAGGTTAAAAAATTCTGATAGAAGCCGGCCCCCTCATTTTACAAATGAGGGAACTGAGGTCCAGAGAAGGAAAATGACTTGTCCAAAGTCACACAACTCTTTAGTTCTCAATCCCCAATTCCCTTTATTTCTCAGAGTTAACAGTATTCACCAAATATTTAATAAGCCTCTGGATGTTCTGATTTCTGATAGACACTGTTGGTGGAAATGTAGATGTGAGAGAAGTTATAAGATAGCCCTCGATTTACTCTCAAGGGAAGAGGGACAGGACCATGATAGTGTCCCAAGTGTCTAAAGGGCTATATTGTGGAAGAGGGATGAGATTTGCTATGGTTGGCCCCCCAGATCACAAGCAGGAGCCTGTATAAAAACTGAAAAGGGGTGGTCTTAGACTGGACTAAGGAAAACTTCTTTATAATTAAAATTAAGTTTTAGATGTTTGAGGTAGAGGTGCTGGGGGTCATCCAGATTACAGTAAATCATAGAAAGAGTAGACTGGATTGCATTTCAGAAATGGCACCATATTTTTAATTATTCCGATTTTTTTGGAGGCAGAATCTTTGCTTTTGTACTTATGACCCAAGCACTTAGCACAGTGCTTGGCACTTATGAAGTTGATACATAAATTTTGTTCATTCAGTATGGTATAGTGGATAGGGCACTTGTAGTCAGAAAGACCTGTGTTCAAATCCTCCTTCCAACACTGACTGAATTCATATCCATGCCACTCAGGGCAAATACTGATGTTATGACTTCCTAACCAGTGTTCTTTCTAATATATCACAACTTGTCCCATGGTGACAACTTACTACTCTTTCTGTTGACCTTCATACTCCAGAAGTAAGGATATTGTAGAGATTGAATTGGGTTGGGTAGTTGGAGACAGCCTGGGGTCTGGTCCCGTCTCTGCCATATCTTGCTGTGTGACTTTGGGAAAGTGTGTTAACTTCTCTGGGCTTCGGATCCATTTTTCATAAAATGAAAATGTTGGATTGGATGATGATTTCTAAGATTCTGAGCCTAAGAATGCTGTAATTTTGTTAAGGATGATTTGCAACTATACATCACTGCTCAGTTTGTAATATCCCTTTACTTTGAGCTTTTTCTGTCCTTTCCCTAGTTTAGTTTTGTTTTACTTAGATGCTTCTGGAGCAAAATGCTCTTGTGATAATGAAGTTTTATTGACTATAACTGAGAAACATCCTAAGAATTAGGGGATCTTTTAACAAGGCTGGTGACCACTTGTTGGTTCTATGATACCTACCTGGGATTTTTGTTCCTAGGGAGGTTGGGCTCTGTCTTCCAAGGTATTCCATTTGTGAGTCTGGAACCTGAACTGAGTTGACATCATTCCTGTTGTGAATGAATTGGTGATGATAATAATGGCTAGTAATTTTGTGGTGCTTTTCAAATATGATCTCATCTGATCCTCACAGCAAGCCTGGGAGGGAGGTGCTTGTCATTATCCCCAGTTTATGGTTGAGGAAACTAAGGCATATTACATTTAATTTAACTGCAAATAGGGTTAGAGTGGGAAGCTGGGTGGTGCAGGGGATAGAGCACTGGACCTGGAGTCAGGAAGACTCATCTTCTTGAGGTCAAGTCTGGCCGTAGACATTTACTAGCTGTGTGACCCTGGGCAAGTCACTTAACCCTGTTTGCTGTAGTTTCCTCAGCTATAAAGTGAGCTGGGGAAAGAAATGGCAAACGGCTCCAGTATCTCTGCCAAGAAAACCTCCAATGGGGTCTCACAGAGTCAGATATGACCAAAATGACTGAATAACAACCAAGTGGTTAGATTTGCCCCCGGTCATATAGCTGGTATCTGACACGGAATTTGAACTCAGGTCTTTCAGACTCCAGGTCCAGTGCTTTCTCCATGGTGTCACTGAATCTGCCTTTAATGGAGATAAGCCTTGCTGTGTGTTCTGAATTGGTTTGTGCTAAAGGTCAAGAGGACCTGATTTTTGTCACCTTTTAGCTCTGTGGTCCTTTTTCCTTAATACCTTAGTTTCTTAATTTGGAAAGTAGGATTGGTAATACCTGCCCTGCCCACTTCATTGGATTATTATGAGAATCAAATAAAATACTCTACTGTAAGCTCTTTGAAAACTAAGGTGCTGAACCAGGTGTAGTAGTTCACACCAGAGATCTGAGCTCTTTGAGAGGCCAGGGATCAGCCAGTGAGTAGCCCTTGCCTTTCCAGCCTGGGGAGATGAGGAGACCTAGCCTTTAAAACAGACAAACATTCTATTCAATTGCAGTTTGAAGATTATGTTCCTAGGGTGTTAATTAAAGTAAGGTTCCAGGAAAACAGCATTGTAAAATGAGTCAAGCCCACCATTGAGAGTAGCTCGTGAGAGGCAAGAATTTCTAGAAACATTGAAGAACACAGAAATTTTGGGGGAGAATTGGAACAAATGCAGTACTTTTTTTTTTTTTAAGTACTAGTTCATTATTTTCCTACAATCATTTTTTGTTAGCTTATCAGTTAACTTGGCTTGCTCACAAAATTATCACGTTTGATATGGACATGTGAAAGGCTAGGAGGGAAAGGGTTTTTAAAAACATTTTCCTTGGGGTAGCTAGGTGGCACACCCTAGGATAGAGCTCGGGCCCTGGATTCAGGAGGACCTGAGTTCAAATTCGGCCTCAGACACATAACACTTACTACCTGTGTGACCCTGGGCAAGTCACTTTAACTCCATTGTCTAACCAAAAAAAACCCCAAAAAACAAAAACATTTACCTTTTTCTCCCCAGATCTTCCCCTGTTTTCTATTTACTCATAAATCACACCCAAACACCATGACTTAATCCAACCCAACTCACCTCATTGTTTTATAGTGTGTATGTTTTTAAAGATGGGCTCACATTCTCTTTCTCCTTCCTCCTCCCAATAACCTAATGGTCCTTTGCTGTAACAGTTTTGTTAGTTCAATTCATTAAACATTTTCAAGTGTTTGCGATGTACAGAGCACTGAATTTTAGATATGACACCCTCCCTGTCATGATGAAGGGATTTGTAGAGGAATGTAATATTTTCAGCTGTCCCCCAGTGTGAGTGGGTACTCCTTCCCTCTCATTCTTGTCCTGTCTTTATTGAACTCTTCCAGTGTGGATCTGTCCAATATCCTGGAGACCTTCTGGTTTATTTACTATTTTGTGATCATTAATGCAGCCCTCAGGTACTGACCTGCATGTTTCACTCTTACTATGTGACTTTTCGGGTCATACATGTCTTTGATAGTCTTTTATGTCACTTTTTGTGGGTAAGTCAGTATTGGTAATATACTGCAAATTACTTATTCTCATCATTTCTTTCCATTCCCTTTTGGATCACTTGTAATTTTTTTTCTTCTGAAATTGTGATCTATGTCTCCATTTGTTTTTCATAACAAACAAATATAATACCAAATAATACCTGATGTGTGGGTTAGAGAGGTGCAAAGTGATATGGGATATATAGAGCGGGGTGGTTGTTGTTGTTTTTCCTTCATTCTCGAAGAGGACCATGACTTCAAGGAAGAGATGCCATGGTATGAAAGTGAATTGGATTTAAGTGAGGGAGGTCTGTGCAAAGTCACCAACCTCACTTTCTCCTCCGGAGCCATCTGGATCCAGTGGCCAGATATAGATCAAGATGACTGGAAGTAGCCCACGATGCAGTGGGAACCCAGAGTGAGGAGGAGGGGTGGGAGAGGTGGGGTTGCATCAAGGGAGGCTCCACGAGAAAGTGGCATTTGAGGTGGATTTGAAAGGTGGTGACTGACCTTCTAGGTTCAGGAAGTAAGTGAAAAAGTGCCTGGGGCAGGAGAAAGCATGGCATAAGTCTAATGGTGGTGAGTAATCTCATCTGGTAGAGTTTGAACTTTGTTTTGTAGACAGTAAGGGGCCATGGAAGGGTTTGGGGCAGAGAAATAACATGACCGGAACTTTAAGAAAGGTTTACCAGGCAGCTGTTTGAAGAATGAATTGATTGGGATGGAAGGGAGAAGAACACTTTTTTTTTTTTAAGTGAGGCAATCAGGGTTAAATGACTTCCCCAGGGTCACATAGCTAGTACGTGTCAAGTGTTTGGTCTGAGGTCGGATTTGAACTCAGGTCCTCCTAACTTCAGAGCCGGTGCTCTATCCACCTAGCTGCCTGGAGAAGAATAAGAATACTTCTTAGAAGGTTCTTGTAAGCTAGTCCAGACAAGCAGAAGTGAGGTCTGTATGGGAGTGGTGTCCGTGGGAAAAGAGGGGAGTGGATTGACAAGAGAGTAGTGAAAAGACCTGAGTGTTGATAAGTTGTCCGAAGAGGAAGGAGAAGTTCAAAATAACACCAGGGTTTCAAACCCAGGAGACTGGATGGGTTGTGGTGCCATTGACATAAATAATGAGGTCAAAAGCTAAATTGTACTTTTGGACCTAAATGCTTGAAAAGGAAAAGACCTAAATGCCTAAAAAGGAAATGGCAATTATCGCAGGTGAGTGTAGGTTCCTCAAGAAGGCTTGCCAGAGTACCTTATTTCCTTTTGTGACTGTGTTATTAGGGGATCAAAATAATACCTCAAGCATAATATCACCAGTTGTATTCCAGCAAGGTGTTTGATAAAATATCTTGTGATAGTCTTAGGAATAAAATGGAGATATGTGGGCTGGATGATAGTACACTTTCAGCTGGTTTTAAACTGGTGTCTCTGAACGTGTGTGTTTTGTTTTGAAATATTTTGATAATTGTATTTCAGCATAACTTGTTTCCTTTGAGATCCTGTGTATTTCATTTTATTCATTTAAAACCATTATTCTCATAAAGGGTCCCAGGCTTCACCAGATTGATAACGGGGTCCATGACATTTAAAAAAAAAGGGTAAGAAGAATAACATATTTAGCATTTATATAGTGCTTTAACATTTGCTTAGACCCCTAAGTTATATAGATTCATAACTGGTTGAATGCCTGAACCCAAGGAAAGGCAATTAATGGATCACTGTCACCTTGGAGAGAGTTTAGAAATTCCTAAGAATTCTGAAGAAACATTCTATTATATCGCTTACATAAACTTTGTCTTTAAATGTGAAGACTACATACGTGAGAATTTTAAAGAGTAGAGAGAGAATGTGGAGTGACTCCAGATTATTTTGCTACCATTTCCTTTTTATAATAAGACATTTCTAGTATTGTTTTTTTCTGATACTGTAATGGCATTTCATGAATCTCTATGTTATTTTTCTACAGTTTATGCAGCAGTATAATCACTACAAGTCCAATGTGGAAATTTTCAAGTTACAACCAAATAAACCCAGCAAAGAGCTGGCTGAATTGGTGATGTTCTTGGCCCAGGTAAGATGGCGCCCCTTGAAGACACACTTGTTGTTTCTCTTAGGGATATCTAACCCACCAAATTTTTTTTTTCCTACGCGCGGCTTCAAAATTGTGCCAGTAGCTAGCCCTACATTTAAACGTGATATACTATACTTCACAGGCTTTTTCCAGCTTCATATAAGAATACCATCATCTCAGTCATTGCTTGATAACTGAAATAGAAACCAGTCAAGACTAGTTTTCCTAAGCTGTTGTTCTTTTCATTGGCTATGTTGTTGCCTCACGTGTCTGACTGTTTTATCTCTGAAAACTTTAATGTTTAGAGTACCTTATTATCGAACATGCCAGATCAAAACATTCTTGCTTTCCATTTTTTTCTGGCTGAATTTTGTGGATCACAATAAACAGAGGCTCTTACTCACGTCCCAGAATTTGTCTGGAAGGGGTAACCGAGCCAAGGTTCTCAAAGGTTGTGCCAGCGGAGCACACACCCTTTTAGGCAGACGAGTCTTGGAACATCAGCCTGCTGCATCTTGTCCCAGAACCAGCTTATCTTAGCCAAGTTCCTAGAGGCTCTTTACCAGTGTAGAAAACAGCTTAGCTGTGGTGTTTCCTTTTTGAAAACTGTTCTCCATTAGACTTAAAGCAAGGGGGTCCCTGTTTCAGTTTATCTTCCTTTTATGTGCCTGTAGGGACCACTGGCAATGCTACAAGCTCAGGAAAGGGTTACCCTGCTTAACCAAAGGGGCTCCATTGAAAATTGTGCTTAAGATATTAAGCGTTCTAGGTTTTGGAACAGAATGAGACTCTTCATAGAAACAGGAGAGACATGTGGAAAGTATGTAAAACATAGGTGTAAGCAGTGATTATGTAGATCTAAATAAAATGACAGGCATTTGGTTTGAAAACTAAGCTGTTAAAATTGTACTACTTTCCATCCTGTTCTTAAAAAAAATTTTAAATCTTGATGATGATTGAGTGAAGGAATTTAAGATTGTTTTTGAGATGACCCAATGAACATCTCATTGTCATGCTAAAAAGAAAGAAAGAAAATTGTTCTTAGATGACCCTGAAATGCTTGCCCTTGTCCTACCAACAGAGTGTCCTGTCATTTGCTTCAGGCTACCCTGAAATGTCCCAGTTTCAGTGCTCTTGGACATCCTGATGTTCCCCTTCCTCTTTTTGGTTATGATATAAAAATCCAGTTCTCTGGCCTGAACAACGGTCTTGCAGAGATTGTTTTCCATCCATCCGTTTATCCAATAAACACTGAGCAATCTGATGTACCAGTCAGAAAGGTCCTTATTCCCCGGCATACGGTTGGCTCTTGGGTGATGAAATTCTGGGCTAGAGCAGTTAAGGGCATTTGCTGAATTCTGGAAAGATCCTGAGTATTTCATCTGCCAAAGGGTGAATTCACAGGCCCTGGAAGTACTCCAGGACGAGGCGCTAAAAGAGATGTGGAGGCAGGTTGTAGGGGAAGGAATAAGTATGAAGACCACAGGCAGCCGTAAAGCGTATTTGGGGGCAGAAAAAAATGAGCAGAGAGAAGGCGGGGGTGGGGGTGGGGGGTGGGGGGGTGGGGTGGCTTCTGTTGATGTTTTCACAAAACACAGCTTTAAGACCCACCCTCACGCTGCTCTGAGATTCCAAAGTCTTTGCTTCATTACAGGTGGGCCACTGTTATCCAGAACATCTGGTTGACTTCCCCCAACAGCTGAAGGAGCTTCTTTCTTACAACCACACCGTTTTGGATGCTGGGCTTCGAATGGTGAGATCAGGACTTGGGTTAATATAGTTATATTCCATTTCTTTGTGGGTTCGGTTCTTTTTTAGCCTAATCTGAACTTGAAAGGGGGAATGTCCGTGTGGATCTAAAAACTGAGGACTGGAGGCCTTGGAGGAGTTTGAGCAGAATGACCCAGCTCCCTTTAAACCTCAGGAAAATGGTTTTGTGTTTTCGGAATGCCTTCGATTTTATCAGAACTCGAGTCCTCGACCCCATCTCTGCTCCTTCTCTCTCAGCAGCCAGCTTACTTTACTGAGATCACGTCCATCTGATGCAGACTCTTGCACCTTCCTTCCTTTATCTGTCAGTTGCCGGGTGTCGTGGATTCTGCCCCGACGGGCACAGTTATGGTTGTCCCCCTTCTTCAGGCCTTTATTTCTTTCATCTAGGCCATTACAGTATCGTTCTGGTAGATTTTCCTGTTTTCATTTGGTCTATAGTGAAAACCTCCGTCAGAATATCTGTCCCAAAGCCTCGCCCTAGGAAGCTGTGTCCTGACAGGGCCATTGACTCGAGGTCGTCGTTCAGGGCAGCATCAGCTGGCTGGGTCTCACTCCTCAGCCTTTCCATTGTCTCATCTCCCGCCTCCCTAGCCCTGGACCTGGCAGTGTCGTAGAGTCTCGGGCTGAACTTGAATGCAGGTGTCAGGATAGAGTTTGCTTTTTCCCTCTTTCCTCAGACATTTTGCAAAGCTTTGATGTTACTGAGAAACAGGAATCTCATCAACCCAACCAGTCTACTGGAGCTGTTCTTTGAACTTCTGCGTTGCCATGATAAGCTTCTGCGAAAGGTAGGGAGCTGAGTAATTGACCGTCCCTGGGGATGAATTGTCTGCTAATAATAACTGGCATTTATGCAGTGCTTTGAGGTTGTTTTGTATTCTTTAAATGAGTGGTATTTCCCCTTTCATTTAATTAATGTGGGGCAGCTCGGGGGTACAGTGGATAGAGGGCTGGGCCTGGAGTCAGAAAGATGTGAGTTCAAATCCAGCCTCAGACACTTATTAGCTGTGTGACCCTGGGCAAGTCACTCCACCCTGTTTGCCTCAATTTCCTCTTCTGTAAAAGGAACTGGAAGAGGAAACAGCAAATCACTCCCTTGTCTTTTCCAAGAAAACCCCAGATGGGGTCATGAAGAGTCAGACACAAAACAACAGAAAGAATAATGTAGGGGGAAGACAGATGGTACCCTTGAGTCATTCAACGTGCTTGTGATTGATGCATCGAAAAATCATATTTGTTCTTAAGGCTTTTAAATGGGAATTCTTTTCTTCCTTCCTCAGACTTTGTACACACATATTGTGACGGATATCAAGAATATCAATGCCAAACACAAGAACAACAAAGTGAACGTCGTGAGTATCCTGCTTTTGGCGTTCTGTGCAGCCTGGGGCTGCCGGCCCGTCCTGACGCCCTGGGCTTCTCTTTCCATTCAAGGTGTTGCAGAACTTCATGTACACCATGTTAAGAGACAGTAACGCCACGGCTGCCAAGATCTCTCTGGACGTGATGATCGAGCTGTACAAGAGAAACATCTGGTGAGGAGAGAGCGTCTTACAGAGCAAGCCCCCCTCTGCCCCCGAGCCAGCTTCGGTGTATAACACCAGAGTACTCTCACAGAATGCCCAGAGAACTTCATTCCTTTCATGATTTCAAGCTTTCTACTACAGTTTAGTTCCGGATAGAGCCAGAAAGTAGAAACACTAAAAAAAAAAATCTTGATGGACATCAAAATTTATGACTAAAGACCATCACAGAATCAACCTTAGACAAGGAATGTTCTAAGAGTCCCCTGAGAACTAGTCCCCCGTGCGGGGCGCCCCCTCTGTACCATGCTGCTTTCTTTAAATGCTGCTCTCTAATACTTCCATTTAGACTTCTTCTCTTTCTCTGTCTCTGTCTCTCTGTCTCTCTCTCTCTCTCACACAAACACACACACACACACACACACATATCTTGTCTTTGATCACTTTGTAGCCTGCCACTGTGTGCAGGAGAAGGAAAGACGTACTAGAGTTCAGTGAAAAATTTCCCTGTGGTTTTTGACATAAAATATTTTCTTACAGGAATGATACCAAAACTGTCAATGTGATCACAACCGCATGCTTTTCTAAAGTGACCAAGGTGAGACTATCTGAAACTATGCAGGACATGCTTCTGATGGGTTTTTGTGTCGCCTCTTTTCCATCCAGACAGGGTTTCCAAGTACGTGGGATGTTTGGAAAGTGGGAAGCTTTCAACTAACAATTTATTTTTCTTTCAACTAACTATTTCTATCTTCCCTCCCGTTTGAAAAAAAAAAATAGAAAAATCAAAGCACTCATAATAAATCCTCATAGTGAAGCAAGACAAAATCTCACATTGGCCGTATCCCAAAAATACATGTCTCAGTCTGCACCCTAAGTGAAGAAATGCTTTGTGATGAGTCCCTTGAAATCATATCTGGTCATTTGATCAAAGTGCTTAATTAAGTCTTCCCAAGTTGTTTGTCTTTATAATGATGTTACTATTTTTAAGTGTCTCATGGTTCTAGTAGCTTTACTCTGCATCAGTTCATACAAGTCTTCTCTAGTTTCTCTGAAGCTGTTTCACCATCTTTTATGCTGTACAAAATATATTCCATGACATTCATATACCACATTTCATTCAGCCATTCCCCAATTGATGAACACTCTCCTTGGTTTCCAGTTCTTTGCCACCAAAAGAAAGAGGTGCTGTATTTTGAAACATATAGATCTTTCCCCTCTTTTTTGGATTTCTTTTGGGTATAGGCCTAGTAATGGCATTCCTGGGTCCTTGGGTATGCACAGTTCAATAACTTGTTCACCGTATTTCCAGGTTTTTTTTTCCTAAAACAGTTGGATCAGTTCAGAGCCCCACTAACAGTGTTCCCGCAAAGATAGGAGCCTTCAGCGTTTGTTGTTTCCCTTCTTTGTCAGCTTCGCCAGTCTCAGGCGTGTCAGGAGGAGCAGCCTTTACTTTGCTTAAATTTCCTTTTCTCTGGTTATTGGTGTGGTGGAGCATTTTTCCATATGGCTCTTCATAGCTTGAATTTCTCCCTCTGAAAACTGCCCATTTAGCTCATTTGACCATCTCTCAGGAAGCTTGTTTCCTGGTAAAGCCGCCTTTATTCTTTAAGCAGCCTTCCAATTTGAGATGCGTTGGAAAGAAACCAAATAAAACTATTTTGTAGCATCGTTAGAACAGCTTTAATGTGGTTGTAGTAAAAGACAACCTCCTGAATTTGGTTCTAATATTTCTTCTAACAATTAGGTCTGTACCTTAGCGGGATATGAACCCAAACATCCTACGGGCCCTGTAGTGCTGCGCTTTCTCTTGACAATGCGATATATGTTGTGTTGCCTTTATAATTGTAACCGTAATAGTAACTAACTTTTTCATAGCTCTTTAAGGCTTGCAAAACACTTTACAAATATTTTATCTCATTTTATCCTCAACCACCCTGGAAGGTAGATGTTATGTTCATAACCTGTACATAACAATGTTTCTTCATTTTACAGAAGAGAAAAGCGAGACAAGCAGAGATTAAGTGACTTGCCCAGGGTCACACAGCTTGTGGCTGAGGCCAGATTTGCACACAGGTCTTCCTTATGCCAGGCCCAGCATTCTCCATAGTGCCAAGTAGCTACCTCATACCCCTAAAACGAGTTCTCGAGAGGAAGAATATATAGTCGGTTTACAATCATTGCTTATGAAAATGGGCTGAGCTTCCAAATGAGAGAAAGCTTTATTTTTAGCTTTTTTTATTTATTTATTTATTTATTTTTAGGCAATTGGGGTTAAGTGACTTGCCTAGGGTCACGCAGCTAGTAAGTGTCGAGTGTTTGGTCTGAGACCGGATATTTTTAGCTTTTAAAAAAAAAATTTAGCTTTCTTTTCTTTTTTCTTCTGAGCTGATTGTAATGAGACATCCCTTGGCATTTTGGCATTAATTAGATTTTTTATGATTATTAGGAAATACGGGGAGAACTTGTGTCCCAGAGAGTTTGTGTGAATGCCAGATTTGGTGGGGAAAGGGTGATCCATATTCAGACAAGTGTGCTGTGTCCTGAAAGAAAGTCATGGGAATGGGTTTAAGTAAACAAGGATTAGTCATACTTAGAGGCTTAATTTTGGATTAGACATTTCAGTCATTTTTGTCTTTAAGTGCTTTTCTTTACCTTTGGGAAGTAAGCTTAGTTTGGCCCAAGATAAGAAGTGGGAAAATGAAATTGCACCTTTTCTTTGTAGAGGTGGAATGCTGTGGGTGTAGACCATTGCTTGTTTTCTTCTGACTCAGTTGATGGTTTGGTTAGTTTTGCTGAATTCTTTCTTCTGTTTTTCATTCTTTATCCTAAGAGATTGTAAGCTGGTAGGAGAAGGAAGTGAAGAGTATATGTGGAAATAAAACTGATGCAGAAACTAAAGATAACACTAGGTTTGAAAAGTTAAGTGCAATCTTGCTGACCTGTTATTACAGTTATTACTATTACTTGCTTCCTTGGTCTTCCCCGTTTTTGACATCGACGACTCCTTGTCTGCTGTTTATGGGACTATCTCATTTGTATTTCTCCTCCTTTTTGCTCTTCAGATACTAGTTGCTGGTTTAAAATTCTTCCTTGGTAAAGATGAAGATGAGAAACAAGACAGCGATTCTGAATCTGAGGTTTGTTAACATCTCTTCCACTTTGGAGTCGTATTCTCCTTTGAGGATCGTGTCTCAACGTAATTTTTTAAGATGCTTTGGTCTGAAGAAGGCCTGTCTTAGTTACGGTCAGTCAGGCACTGATGCTTTAGGCTGTCGACTGGTGTGAGTGACGTTCAGCTTCAGAGGAATGCCCATCATCAGTGAGGTGGGGGCATAGGGCAGCTTTGTATTAAAGCCTTTTTACAGAGCTGTAGAAGATGGTGGAGTAAAAGCAGTGACTTGCTTGAGCTCTCCCCCAAACCCCTCCAAATACCTGTAAAAAATGGCTCTATACAGAGCTGTCTTTTAACTTGGTAGTATATTTAGAATGTCCTTATTTGTGGCAAATAGTTGTCTTTCTGACCCATCAAATGAACCTGCTTTGGTTATATCCTGGGGTTTGAAACTCTAGTTTCTGACCAGGATCCTCCGTAACTTGAGGTGGGGTTGTGGAGGAGATGTTGTTACATTGGCTGCATCAAGAAAGGTAAGGAAAGAGTGTATAACCTGATAGCTTCAGAGGGAATTCTGGATTTGCTTAGGGCGTTGAGGGGTGAGGGGGAGAAGAGGAGACAGTAGTTGCTTCTGTGACAATTTGTCTGGCTCTGAATTTTACACTGGTGGTTTTTTTTTTTTTTTTTTACTTCAGGATGATGGCCCCACAGCAAGAGATTTGCTTGTTAAATATGCCACAGGAAAGAAAACCTCCAAACACAAAAAGAAATTGGAAAAGGCCATGAAAGTCTTGAAAGTAAGGCCAACTTGGGGGGTGAGGTGACATTTATATGTGGCAGAAGTGATGCAGAAGGGGCATCTCAGAGTTTGGGGGAAACACCTGCTACAAAATATTTGTTAAAAAAGAATTTTTAATAGTAAATGAAGATGTAAAAAATGTAAAATCCTTTTATAGTAAAAAAAAAATCAATATATTGGCATAGGACAAATCTGAACTTCCAGTGAATGAAAATGATTTCACTACGGCAAATTCTATGACTTCATTCAAGTAGGCCTTCCATTCTTCTTGGACCAAGAAGACCTGTGTTTCTAATTAATGATGGGCAGAGGGCACTGTCTCATTCAGTTGATTGGTCTAGTGGATTTTTAGTCGTGTCTCACTTTTGTGACCCCATTTGGGGTTTTCTTGGCAAAGATACTGGAGTGGTTTGCCATTTCCTTCTCTAGCTCATTGTACAGATGAAGACACTGAGGCCAACAGGATTAAGTGACTTGCCCAGGGTCACACGGCTAGTAAGTGCCTGAGGCCAGATTTGAACTCAGGAAGATGAGTCTTCCTGACTCTAGGCCCAGCGCTCTGTGCACTATGGCACCACCTAGCTGCTCCATACTGTCTGATACAAGATAACACATACAGAGGGTACTTAATATTTGTTGATCATCATTTATTTCTATTTTGTTCTCCATGTGCACATTTCAGACCACTCCCTGTGATACATTGCGTATCTTGCTTTTTAAAATTATGAACGTAGCACTACCATCAACAAGTAGAAATAATGTAACCAAGGACATCAAAGATTTTATATAAAACCACAGACCTGGTGTTTACCATCTATCTTTTCATTGTTTGAATCTGAATCATCAGCAAACATGAACATTTTCAGTGTACAGAGTAGAATGGAAAAGAGTCTTTTATTAGAAACCATGGGCTTATATACAATTTGTTTTTTTAAATGTGTGTGTGTATACATATATACACATACACACAAAGTATGGACTTATGCACAATTTTTTTTAAAGATAGATATATAAAATTACGAGAACGTGTGTTAACTCTAAAGTTAGTGATAAAATTGCCCCATTTGTTCCCATGTCCCCTTCTCCCCCAACCCCCGTATATTTTTCCCAGTGTAGTTGCTGAATTAAACTTCCCGGCGCTCTTTCTTGGTGTGTAGAGCCCGTCCCTAGACCCTGGGCTTGCCTTGGTCCTTGCGAGGCTGGCTATCCGTGAGGGCTGCATTTTCAAAGTCTCAGCAGAGCAGAGTCTCCTGTGCGTCTTTTTAGGGATGGCTGGAGGGATTTTATGATTTGGAACTTGACATCATGTCGTGACGTTGGCTGTGCCGTGATTGGTTCTGCTTCTGTAGTGGCATTGACGTCAGATTAATTCATGGGGCTGAAGACCACTCTTTTTTCTTTCAGAAACAAAAGAAGAAGAAGAAGCCAGAGGTGTTTAATTTCTCAGCCATTCATTTGATTCATGATCCCCAAGGTATTTGAAACACGGCCTTCTAGATCTGCTCTTGTGCATGGCCAACAGAAACTACCAGGCTCGTCCCGTAAAACTCAGATGGCAGACAGTTTCTCTGCCTCGTGCGTTCCCTATCTAGACGTGGACGGATATTTGCTCCCTAAATGGAGCACAGATCAATCAGTCTTTGCTTTGGGTGTTAAAGCCTGCACTTCTGATATCCCTTGGCTTGGTTTGGACTCCTCTCCCCCTGGATTTCATTTTTGTTTTTTCAGATAGGTGATCCTGTGTCTTTCTGCCTCATTTCATGGTACTCTATTTTCCTGAACCTTGGCATCAGGATTCTGACTCATAGATGCATCTGAACCATTGTCTTACCTCTCTTTGCCCTTGCTTCATTCAGTCCTGGTAAGCAGCCTGTGTGCCCATGATTAGTCACTACTCTGGTTCTCTGTCTCACAGATTTTGCAGAGAAGCTTCTGAAGCAGCTGGAGACCTCTAAAGAGAGATTTGAAGTCAAGATGATGCTCATGGACCTTATCTCCAGATTAGTGGGAATTCATGAGGTTTGAAGCATTTTGTGGACTTTTTTTTTTTTTTTTTTGTAAGGGTTTGGGATTTCCGCAGTCTCAGATGAAAATGATGCTGGAGGATTGTTTCTAACGATGTGACCCTGGATTCAGCACGATGGTGACCTCAGATAGTGCTTTAGTTCTGTGTATTTTAGAAAGAATGGACCACTAAAAAAGGAACAGTTTCCATAGTGCTCCCACAGGGATCCCTCCAGTTTCAGATCATGAGGTCTTAGATTCAGGGCCAGAAGGAGGAGTCTCATCCTATCTCCTCTTACAGATGAGGAAATTGAGGCCTAGGGAGATGAGTTGACTTAGGGTCACACAGAGCAGGGATTTGAACCCTCTTTGCAATCCCATTTCCCATATTTTATGCCATTGGTTCTGCCTTGACCTTGACCTTGCTTCAGGCTCTGAGCAGGAGCCGAGGACGCAGGCAGGAAGCTAAGGGACGGCCTGCGGATGGAAAGGTCCTGCTTAGTCCCGTGGGTTATTTTGGGAAGTCGCTTTGTCAGAAGGACTCTTCCTTGGGAAGGAAGGGTGTTGAAGCTTTTCTCTCTCGCTGTGATTTCCGGAGTGTGGCAGACCAGGGCTGGAAGTTCACAAGGCTGACCTTAGCCCTGCCTGTCCTTAGCCCACGGTACCACCTTCCTTACCAAATACAAGGTCCAGCATTGCCTGACGAGGAATCGTTCTTAAGAATTGCACGTTGGGGCCTTGATGCTTTTAGAAAGATTGGAATTTAAGCATGCCAAGGTGCATCAACTGATACTTTGCATTTTTTTTGAATCCTTAAGGTAAAGAAGATAGAGATAGTAGGATGAACATTTTTATTTCCAAGTAAAGTTATGATTTTTGTGTGTTTCTTGCTGCGCCTGGCCTGTCCAGCATTAAGGATATTAAAGTGAAATACCATTTCTCTCTCCACAGCTTTTTCTTTTTAACTTCTATCCCTTCATACAGCGGTTCCTCCAGCCCCACCAGAGAGGTAAGCCGCCGTCCTCTTTTGTCTCATTGATCTTGGGACGTTATTAGAAGAGCTATTTAAAGCCTCCTGTTTTGAATGCATTGATCGGAAGTGAAATGTTCTCTAGGAGAGGAGACAGGATTATAGATTTAGGGCTGGGAGAGCCCTCAGAGATCATCTCACTGATGATGGCTCAGGTCAGCAAATCTAATCCTAGAAGAAGTTAATTGATTTCTTCCAGGTGATTGATGTAAAAGTGGAGACGGGATAGAGGAAGAGGGTTTATTCTTTTGGGCATCTTTATAATAATTTGCAGAATCAGTTGGTTGCTATAAATAGGAAGCCCTTGTATAAAGCTCTGAGGAGAAGGGGACAAGGGAGGGAGGTGATGAAAATTAGAGAACGTTTATCGAGCGTTGTGCTCAGCTCTGAACATACAGATATGCATGAGGACTTGCCTTCGGAGAGCTTACATTCTAACATAAAGAGGAGCTGGAAAAGAGAGTGGTGGTGAGGAGGGGTGGAAGGGAGAACAGGGCGTTTGGAGGCCCAGATCTCAGCAAGTTAAGGCCACATCCAGGGGAACCAGGGTAGGGTCCATATTTCTAGTAGGATGGGAAGGGTTGCCGGATAGGGTCGTGGTGAAGAAATAAATTATATTTGTATTATGGGGTTTTTTTTTTGTTTGTTTGTTTTGGTCTGGGTGGCCTGTGATTTCATTGATTTAGGGAACTCTCAGTATGGAAAGTCCCTCTGCTGGTCCAGATCACCATATATCCACAGCTTTGTGTCCTCAGGAAGTAGCCTGGGGCACTCAGAGGGCAGTCCTCCCCCAAGGCCACCCAACCAGTCTGTGCTGGAGGCAGGGAAACCCAGGTGTTCCGCCTCCCAGAGTGGACCTCTCTCTCTGTCCACTGTTAGCGCTTCTCTGCTTTGTCGCTCCCCTACGACACGTAGCCAGGGGTTTCTCTGTGCCTTTCAACACCAGAAGCAGAACAAAGAAGAGATTTCTCCGTCTTTGTTTCCCTCTTTGGGCCTCCTGAGCTTGGGCACATGCGTCAGCCTGGGAAGCTCTCCTAGGAGCAGGGTGGGTTGGTTTTGTTTTGTGTCTTTAGTGACTCTTCCATAATGAGTGCTCAGTGGGAGGCTGTTGTTTGATTGATGGATTGATTGATTACCACCAAGGTGCACAGCCCCTCTTTGACCTGGGTCAGACCTGGGCCCTACCCTGATTCCCAGGTGCACAGCCAAGGGGCTTTCAGAACCATCTGGTGCTGGCACCGCTGTTGGTGGTGATCTGACACATTGATAAAACGTTGTGGATTTCAGTAAAAATGTACGTGTAAACAGCCCTTTCCTGCTGTCTTAATGTTTCAGAGGTGACGAAGATTCTTCTCTTTGCTGCCCAGGCAGCCCATCAGCTCGTACCCCCTGAGGTGAGTGTGACCTTTGTGACCTTTCCTGCCCTCCCGGTTTGGGGCTGGCACAGACAGGGCTGTCCCTGTTAGTCGGGAACAGCAGGGTGGTTTTTGTTTATTTCTTTGTAATGGTAGACAGGGGTAGACGAGACAGGTAGGGCAGCGGATAGAGTGCCAGGCCTGGAGTCAAGAAGACTCGTCTTCCTGAGTTCAAACCTGGCCTCTGGCACTAGTTGTGTGACCCTTGGCAAATCACTTAACCCTGTTTGCTTCAATTTCCTTATCTGTAAAACGAGTTGGAGAAGGAAATGGCAAACCACTCCATTATCTATGCTAAGAAAACACCCAAAATGGAGTCACATAGAATTGAGCATGAAGGAAAAACGACCGAACAATAAAAAGTGGTAGACAAGATCATAGGACCACACATTGAAAGCTGGAAGGGACCTTACAACCCCCTCATTATACAGATAGGAAACTGAGGCACGGAGCACTTAAATGATTTGCCCAGGGACACACAGCCAGTGGATGTCTGAGGCAGGAGTTCGACTCAAGTCATCCTGTCTCCAGGTCCATTGCTTTTTCAATTGAAAAGTAGCATAGAAACTTAGAGCAGGAAATGGCTGTGTGAATTATCTAATGTAACTGTCTCTGGTTTTACATTTTGCTGAGTCCTAGAGGTGGAATGATTTGTGTAAACTTGTATAGTTAGGTTAGTGGCAGAGCTGGCCCAGTCTCCGGACTCCTCATCCCTCCATCCTTCCATGGTACCACTTCCAGGGGTCACGTAGACGTCCGAGCTTGGCTGGCAGCCGTCTGCCCAGAGCGAGGAATGATGTTTTCAGTGCCCCTGTAACCTCCATCTTTGTAACCTTGAGCAGGAGAGGGAAGGTGGCTCGCTATTCTTTTGGGGTGGGGGCTTTCCTTCCCAGCTGAAAGTGATGCTGGTTTGTCACTCTGTGAATGCCGCTAGAATCCCAGAGGCCCCTGTGGTCTTTGCTGTTCCCTCATGGGCCCTGGTGGATTAACTGCAAACCTGAAGATCGAGTGGGTTTTCCTTTGGTGATGAGGATTTGTGGGTTGATGCTCAAGCTTGAGTTGTGGTCCTGTACACATGGCACTGATTCTCATCATTTCTTTCCAACCATCACTAATGCAGATCGTTGAGTCCTTGCTAATGACTGTGGCCAACAACTTTGTCACCGACAAGAACTCTGGGGAGGTTATGACTGTTGGGTAAGTAGCATGTGGTGGGGGTAAATTACCCAGTTGGACAGTTATCTGAGGATTCAGTGGTTAAGTGTCATGGTGACCAGAGACAACACAGCAGTAATTATCAGCCTACGTTCTCCAAACTACACAGCCTAGGATTTAGTTTGAATCAGAACTTGTACAATGATTCTGGGTTGTTGAACAGAAAAGGGAGATTTTTCTGTGATCTGGTCATTCCTTTTTTCCCTTGTGCATTCTTCTCTCTGGTCAAATGATTCTTTACTTTAGTGACTGAACCTTCGGGGACAGAAAGGTTAGGGATGACATCCCTCCCCCGACTAATGGCCATGGCAAATGGCCAGGCTTTGAGCTAAATTATATACATGGATCCCCCAGGCAAGGCTGTGGGTCTTGCAAATACCTCAAGTGTTCTCAGGAGAAGAAATACAGACTCCCATCAATAATTAATTGGCTCAGTTTATAGAAACTAGGCAACTCTCCTTTGCCGTAAACATTCTGTCTCTTCTCTTTCTGTTACTCACGATATAATTTTCCATAAAGAACAGTACAAAGATATGTAAGTGTTTTGGCGGTGTGTCAACTGTTGAAAAGACCACAGTGAGCATCATCTCTAGCCTTTTAGCACTCAGGATGGAAAGTAGGTGGAATCTCTCCAGAATCCTCCTCAGGGCACATTCTCCATATGAGATGTCTCCTCTGTCACAATCACAATTAACAGTAGTTAACTCCTCAGTCTCAGTCTCTAACCACGTGGCATTTGACTCTTTTTCCCCTTTCACAGACTCCTCATGGAGTGACTTTCTGCATCTCAGGCTGCCACAGATAATGACACTTAAACTGTAGTCAGTCCATCAATAAACATTTATTAAGCCCCTACTGCATATGAAAAAAGACCGCAGCTGCCTTCAAGGAGCTTACAGTCTAATGTATGCGTACATCATATGTGCATTGGCACAGCAGTACAAATAAAAGTATGTATGGAGTAATTGTAATGAGATGCGATACAGTTAAATACAGAGTAGTTGGGAAGGGTCCTAACAATGGAGGGATGATTACAAAGTAATTTTGAAGAGGGCAGCTCTCAGACAATTCTTCACAGAGAATTGGCCCTTCCTCCTTATAAGCCAATCACTGCATATTTTTCTTCCTTCTTCAGAATCAATGCTATAAAAGAGATCACGGCTCGATGCCCCCTGGCCATGACTGAAGACCTCCTCCAGGATCTGGCCCAATACAAATCCCATAAAGACAAGAGTAAGTTGATTATTATTTTCTGGGCACCAAATACCGTGCCAAGTTGCCCATTTCTGTTTGAGTACGGGGTGGTTCTTGCTGATATTCTGGGCTTATTTGACATAATATTTGTATAATACTTAGCCCAGAGCCTAGCAAGTGCTAGGTGTTATTGTTATCATTATCATCATTATTTGCTGGTGCATGCCAGTGACTTCTTATGGAATCTTTGATGTTGTAGATGTGATGATGTCTGCTAGAACATTGATTCAGCTCTTCCGAACCCTGAATCCACAAATGTTGCAGAAGAAATTCAGGGTAAGTAATCTCTGTGGGCACCAGTTTTTGTTTTTGGTTTTGGTTTTGTTTTCTAGTAGTTATGAACTCCAAAGTGGTGTGGAAAGTTGCATTTGAATTTTAATGTTCATGGAAAAATTATGTCTGTATGTAAGTGGATCTTTTCTTCTCTGAGAATACATCCAAAAAAGAAAGTTAAGAATTAAAAAAAGGAAACTATGACAAGTATCATCTAGTTCACCTTTTAGTTGACATGTGCCCTTGGGAGTGGGGGGAGGAAATTGTGGCTTATGGCTTTGAAGCTCATGGGGAGCCACGGTCAGGCAGCGTGTTGACCTCAGGATCACCGTGAGCCCAGTTCAACAACTGCTCTTCATGAGGCGTGATCCTTGTTCTCATGGACCTTACAGTCTAGAGGAGGGGTATGTCATAAATAACTAATATAAAATAATACATGTATTAGAGGTACAAAGCATCATCTGATCAGGAAACATTGTTATCCCCTTGGGGATCAGGAATGCTTTGTGATGGTGGTGGTATCTGACTTGGGTTTCAAAGGTTGGGTTGGATTTTAATGGAGTGGCAGAGGGTGAGGTGTCAGGGCAGGGAGATGGGAAAGCCAAGGTGGGCTCGAAGCACAGTTCTTATTTTGGTGTGTGTGGAGCATGGGGTATATGCCGGGAAGTAGCATGAGATAAGACTGGCACAGTAAGGCTGGCCCACTTGGTGTGTAGCATCTCAAATACCTGCCTATGTAGTTTGAGAGTGAGCTGGAGGGCTAACCTTGGAGTTAGGAAGACGTGTTTGAGTGGTGACCTCTATGGCACTGGACACCGTTAACCACTTCTCCTCCCAGATCCTTTCTACTCTGGATTTCCGTGACTGCTCTCTTTTTGTTCTCATACCTCTACCTCAACTTCCTCACCTGTAAAAAAACAAACAAACCAAAAAAAAAAACCTCCTAAGTTTCCTTAGCTGGGAATTCATCCATCTCATGCCCACTAACTGTGGGTGTCACCCCAAGGAGTAGCATCCTCTTCTCTTTTCTCTTTGTATTTCAGTTATCATCTATTCAGATGATTCTCACATCTGTTTATTCAGCCTTCATCTCTTTCCATCCCACATCAACAACTGCCTTCTGGGCACTTCAAGTGATATCCATTGGGTATCTCAGACATACCCCGTTCAAAATAGAACTCATTGTCATTCTCCTAAACCTTCCCCTCACCTCAACTGTAGTGTCGAGGGAACTTTCATTCTTCTGGTTACTCTGGAACGCACCATCCTTTCACCTCCTTAGTCACCTTTCAAGTCTTTTAACTTCTCCCATGTCCTTTCTCTCCATTGACACAGCTTTGTCTTGGGCCTGCTTCGCTTTGTGCATCTCTCAGTGGTTTCATCAGCTCCCCTGAGTTCAGTTATCATGCAGATGACTTCCAGATCTGTGCCTCCGGCCTCAGTCTCCCAGGCTCCAGGCCCACGTCGCCAGATGCCTGTTTAACATTCACCCCGATTTCTTGTAGGCATCTTAAACTCGGCATGTCCAAGGCAGCGCTCGTTACCTGTCCTCCAAAACCCGTTCCTCTTTGGAACATGCGTGTTCTTGTCTTGGGCACCGCTGTTCTCCGGTCAACACCAAAGTTGGCCACCTCAGAGGGATTCCTGACTCTTCACTCACTTTCATTTGCCAATATCCAGTCACTTGTTACTTCCGTAGCCGGTCTTCATACACGCACGCCCTCTCCAGCCCGTCTCAGAGCCCTCATCATTCCCTCTACTCGAGCCCCTTTCTTCCCAGCTCTTCTTTCCCTACAGTCCTGTCCCTCAAGCACAGGTATCTTTTTGCTGCTCAGAGGCGTCAGCAGCTTCCTCTTACCTCCAAGATAAAATGCAAACCCTGTTGTTTGTCATTGGCAACCTTTACCTCGCACTGTGGCCTGTTTTTCCAGGTGTCTCACACATGATTCTCCTTCACACATTGGAAGTTCCCATCAAACTGGCCTGATTGCTCTTAACTGGGCCTTTGCACAAGCTGTGCCCCATGCTTGGGATGCCCTCCTTCCCCACTTCTGCCTCTTAGCTTCCTTTAAAGCTCAGCTCAAGTTGTTGTTTAGTTGTGTCTGACTCTTCACGACCCCATTTGGGGTTTTCTTGGAAGAGACACTGGAATGTTTTGTCATTTCCAGCTCATTTTACAGATGAGGAAACTGAGGCAAACAGGGTGAAGTGACTTGCCCAGGGTCACACAACTAAAAAGTGTCTGAGGCTAGATTTGAGCTCAGGTCTTCCTGCCTCTAGGCCCAACATTCTATCCACTGCACTACTCATCTGCCCTTCCTATATGAATCCTCTTCTGATTTCTGCCACCCGAAACTATCTCGTGTTTACTTGGTATTTGTTGTGTGTTTGTTCTTATATGTATGTATTGTTGTCCTCAGTAGATTGTAAGCTCTTTGAGGGCAGGTATAATAAGTGCTTCCTCAGTGCCTAATGATTGTTGTATGTTTTAGGGCAAACCCACAGAGGCTTCAGTAGAAGCAAGAATTCAAGAATATGGCGAATTAGATGCCAAAGATTACATTCCAGGGGCTGAAGTTCTTGATATTGAGAAAAAGGAAGCGGATGAAGAGGATGACGATGGTGAGTGGCTTTGTCGTTATTCGGTGCAGAAATCAGAAGCGAGACTCTGGTATGCTTCATGGCCTCATGGATTCAGAATTGGGACCACCCACCTCATTTTACAGATGAGGAAACTGAGGCACAGAGAGGGCCCGAGTGACCTAAGACAGCTATTAAGTGACTGAGCTGGAATTTGAACCCAGGCCTTCCTGCTTCCAGGCCCATGCCCTCACCATTCTAATGGATTAAGATCCAGGAGAGTTCTCCTTCTCGAGAACATGCTGTTTGGTCACTTAGGAGAAATAGGTTCTGTGTTTGTGGACCATAGAAAGCCCAGAACAGAATGTATGAGGTGGTAGGAGTGGCCTCCTGTTGTCCTAGGAGCGTGCCAAAATTAGTGGTCACTTACATAGTTGCCGCTTTAGTTTTAGGAGAGAGTCTCTGGACGTCTCTTTTTTCAGGTCAGTTATGGACCCTGACTCTTAAGGGTCAGCCAAGTGGCACAGTGGATAAAGCACCAGATTTGGACTCAGGAAGACTTGAGTTTGAATTCTGCCTTAGACACTTCTTAGCGGGGCAAGTCATTTCACCTCTTTTCAGCCTCCATTCCCTTATCGGTAAAGTGCCGACAATAGCAACATCTGCCTCCAGGCTCATTGGGAGGATCGAATTAGATCACATTTGTAAAGAACTTTGTAAACCTTAATGCACTGTGTGAACACCAGCTGTTATTATTTCATTGACTTATATATGTCGTGGTCCTTTCACATCAAGAATCAGTCGTCTGTTTATCAAGCATTTCATAAGATTTATACCTGGAAGGTGCCTTGTCTATCACCTAACTGCATCTTGAGGAGGAAGAAACTAACTCCTGGAGAAGTCAGGTGATAAAGTAATAGTCAAGAGCCAGGATTCGAACTCGGGTATTCTGGCTGCAAGTACATTGCTCTTCCTATTATGCCAGGCTGCTTCAGAGTCATTTTTGTGTAATGTAGACGGCTAGTCTGATGGCTAGGAAGACCTGAGTTTGAGGCCCACCTCTGACGTGCTGGCTGGGTGACCTTGACCTGGGTCTGACTTCACCTCTAGGCCACTCTCCAGCTAAGAGTTTCAGAGAAGGTGGAGGGATTCCCTCACAGATCCAGCCCTATCTTTTATCTGAGGGGAGCTGGGAAGATAAAGAGGCTTCTGGACCTAGCGTGGGGAGCTGCCAAAGCTAGAGGGCAGCTTGGGCACAGTCTTCAAAGTTTTTTTTCATGTTTGTTTTCCATAAACAACATGTATGAAGACATGAGGCAGAACTGTGTGGTCGGGTGAATTATGTAGCCTCGTGCTGTTATAGATAAGTTCACGTAACATTAACCTAGTTGAGTCAATTATATCTTCACCTCCCACTTCCTTGGCTGGAGAGGGCTTTCTGCCCTCACCAACTTACTGGTTCTTTTGTGTGGCTGACCTTGATACCCTGGGAGTGATTTCAAGCCTCTCGTGGTAACATCACATTCCTCTCCATGCAGATGGGTGGGAAAGCGCCAGCCTCAGTGAGGACGATGACGAAGATGGCGAGTGGGTCCAGGTGCACCATTCCTCTGATGAAGAGCAACAGGAAATAGTAGGTCTTCCGATTGTTCTAAGTCATCATAAGTGGTTGGCCTAGCTCTGCTTTGCCTCTTCGGTCGATGCAGAAGAAGTCTTAAGACACGAATGGTCAAGCCGCCATCTGTGTGGGTGAGCCTCCATGTTTAGTCATTGCCTGTTTCACATGTGTGTGTGTCTGTCCATCTGTCTGTCTGTCTACAAGGCTGAGAAGCTAAAGAGTGTGCCGGTGGCGGAGCGAAAGGCCAAGGCAGCTGCCGTAAGCACCAGCCGGGTTCTAACCCAAGAAGACTTCCAGAAAATCCGCCTCGCCCAGCTGAGGAAAGAAATGGACGCTGCCCCCGGGAAATCCCAGAAGAGGAAGAATTTTGACATAGACAGTGAAGAGGAAAAGAGGTGAAGCATGGCGCGCCATAGCCAAGATGGCGGGCTTAGGCACCCGGGGAAGGAACGCAGAGTTTTCACTGACCCTTTTTGTGGGCCTGTCTTCTTTCCTCCAGGGGGGAGTTACTTTCCTTGAGGGACATTGAACATCTCCATAAAAAGCCCAAGTCCGACAAAGAGACAAGACTAGCAACCGCGATGGTGAGAGATCCACTGCTTCTCTTAAAGCAGGGAGCAGTTCATGAATGCATTAGGGCGGGGGGAGGGGGGGAAGGGGCATGGAGGGGCGTTGGATGGGAAACTGAGGCCCTTGCGTCTGAGTCCAGACTGCCTGCTTACTGCCTCGTCCTGCCACTGGGTCTTAGTTACGCATCTGTACAATGAGGGGATTGGAGCACGTCCCCTCAAAGGGCCCCTCCAGCTCCAATTCTGGAGCCCGGATAGCAGGGCTGACAAAAACCATATCACGTGGCTTTGTATGTTGTAGATAGCCGTGAGTGCATGAAGAAACATTTATTAAGCACTTGCAGTTATATGTTAGGGTCTAACATTGGCGTAGCTATTTAAGGTTTACACAGTGCTTCACATGTATTAGCTCCATGCTCCTCACAACAGCTCTGCTGAGGTAGGTGTGATATTATACCCATTTTAAAGAAAAAGAATCTGGGGTAGACAGCGGTTAAGTGACTTGCCCAGGGTCACACAGCTAGCAAGTGTGAGGCAGAGTTTGAATTCAGGTCCTCCTTATCCGGGGCTTTATCCACTGTCCCAGCTGTTTGTAGATCTTAATGTTTGTACCAGTGTTGAAAGTTATCTCCTGGGGAAAACCATCTAAATGTGGCAAAGAGTGAAATAAATAGGAAAAGAGAAAAGGGGTCTGTTATTTTAAAAGAAAAATTAGTCTTTGTGTATGAATAGGCTGGGAAGACAGACAGAAAAGAATTTGTGAAGAGGAAAACCAAGCTGAACCCATTTGCTAGTTCTACAAATAAAGAAAAGAAAAAACAGAAGAATTTTATGATGATGAGGTACAGCCATAACATCCGGTCCAAAACGAAACGATCCTTCAGAGAAAAACAGGTGAGCTGGGGTCAATGCCTGGGAGCTGGCCAGGCTCTGCCCTGGAAGTAAGGTGGCTTTCCCCCTGAAAATCACCCCAGGGCCTTCCGTACTAGCATTTAAATGAATTCCGTTTTGTATGGCGTGGTAGAAGGAGCTGCAAGGCCTGGTGAGGAGATAGAGTTCTGGTCTCGTTCTGTCGGTCAGTGTCTTTGGGACCTTTGCCAAGTCATTTAAGGGTTGGATTAAGCGACCTCTAAAGTACCTTCCAACCCTTAGGATTTTAGGGTTCTGAAAAAAAAAAGGACTCCCTTCCCTTCACTGCCTGGTAGAGGCAGTGGCCTAGAGGGAGTGGTTCCCAGTCGGTGCCACATCTGCCTGCAGGGGGACGGGCAGTATTTGAACAGCTGGGTTATTCCCTTGAAATATTCCAGAAACTCTGCATTGATTTCCAAAGAACGAACTTACAAAATTTAGGGGCTACCCTTGGAAAAGGAAGATTAAGTAGTGGTATAGCTGTCGTGGGATGGAGTGAGGAAGTTGTGGGAGATGAGTAAGATGAGGAACTGGGAGTGTGGGGTGTGTGCAGAAACATCAGTGTCTGTGTTGACGACCTCAAATAGGAGATGGGAGGTGGGAGGAGAGAAAGCTGGAGAGCCAGACATGTTGAGGAAAGAAGGGGAGAAGAATCTCATTAATGCGGCATCTTAGGAGCTGCTTACCAAATGTATTTACTGCTTTCTGACTCTTTATGCAAGGTTCCCTAGGGAGAATTCTCTAATAATATAATTTATTACACTATAGTGGGGTCTAACGGAGAGGTGGCATACTTGACTAAGTTGGATTATTTTTTTAAATCTTCCAGTTGGCTCTACGGGACGCACTTTTGAAAAAGAGGAAAAAGCTGATGAAGTAACCATCACAGGGGAGTGACAAAGTGCCATTTTTGCCATATTGCTTTGGAATAGCAAGGGATTCTTTTTGACTAAGGGCAGGGAGCTCCGTGTGTTGGAAGGTGTAGACTCAAAGAACCTCAGAGCTGGAAGAGGCCTCCGGAGCCATCCGTCCAGCCCAGATCCTCCCCAGAAGGAATCCCCCTACACACAAGAGTCCATCCTGAGAACTGACCACTCGCCTGTGCTTAATGATCCTGTGGGGAGGATGCCCTGATTGACTGCACAGAATGTCGCATTAGTTAAAAATATTTTTATTGCAGAGATGGGAAATTCCCAGGATCTATAAAAATTTATAAAAAAGAACTAATTTATTTTTCCGGTGGACATCCATTTCATGGGTCAGCCCAGGATGGTATGGCGCAGATGACAATGCAGGTGTAAGTCCTAACTTGATAAACCGCCGTGTGTTTGCCCAATGAGTCTGGTAGCTGACCTACACACATTTGGGCAAATTACTAGAATTCATACCAAAGGGTTAAATATGTTTTTAGTATGCATAAGGCAATAATTGGTGAACATCTTGCTTTAAAAAAATAAACCGAATTGTACATAATTATCTTGAATTTCTCGGGTTTACTTCTTTATCTTGAGCGCCTCCTTTACTGAGAAAGGGAGTTTTTTCCCCTCATCCTTTTAAAAAACGTATATATTTTCATTGATATCATTTATTTTCACATTGCCTAGATTTCCTCCTATGTACCTCCCTCTTCCCAGTCCCCAAGAGCCAATGTCTGTTTACTTTTTAAAGGAGGAAGAGAAAAATTCGACAAAACTGGCCAATACATCCATGCAGTATTCCATGCCTGTGGATACCCCCACCACCCCCATCACCTCTGCAGAGGAGTGAGGGGGCGTGTCTTCTCTTGTCCCTTCTTGTCCGGTAGCTCCAGGAGCCCCAGGTTCCCCTGGTGTCTGCATCCTTCCCGAATGAGTGTTCATTGATTGGGACGCTTCGAGTCTGAGCTGGAAAGACCTTCAGAAGCCGTCTCGTTCCCCACATACCTGACCAAGGATCTTTTCCACGGCATTGCTGCTACCCCGTAGCCGTCTGGCACCTGCCAGAGACTCCAGGGAGAGGGAAAAGCAGCCCAGTGCTCTTTGGGGACATCTCCAGATTTTATGAATGTTGTCTTTAGATCAAACATAAATTTGACTCGGTAACTGCCCCATTGCTCCTAACACCAGACCGGGCAGAATGGGTAAATCTAACCCTTCATCCACATTAAGACAGCTGTGATGTCTCCCCCTGTGTTTTCTCAGTTCTTATCTGGCGTGATCTCCAGGCCTTTCACTCTCCTGTGGACACCTTCCGACTGTATAGCGTCCCTCCCTAAAAGGAGGTAGCCAGAGCTACCAGTACTGATGAGAAGTTGAACTACACCAGAGACCAAATATCTCAGTTCATCAGGCCTGCCGTTTTGCTCAGACTGCACGGAATGCCTCCAGTGCATACAGCCTCGGTTAGGACTGTGGGTTGGATTGGGGGTTTTTTGTTCTTGCTGACATGTCACGTTGTTAACTACCGTTGAGTTGGCAGTGAACTGAAACTTCCAGATCTTTTTCTCACAAACTTTGTCAAATGCCGTGTTGAAATCTAGGTCTGTTGTCTACACCAAGGGTTCTTAACTTTTTATGTGTCGTGGACCCTGCTTTTGGTAGTTTGGTGAAACCCATGGACCCCTTCTCAAAAAAAAAAATATATAAAAAAAAATAATTGAAGGAAGCGCTAAATTTCAGTTAGAAGTTAGTGAAAAGACGGATGTAATTTTTTTTCCTCAATCAAGTTTTCAGGCCCCCGGAAGTTGATCCAGTGTAAGAACTGATCTCCAGCATTCCTCTAAGCCACCAGACAGGCAGTTTACAGGAATGAGACTGGTCCATCCTGACTTAGTCTTCCAATTCTTCATAACCCCATTTGGAGTTTTCTTGGCAGAGATAAATGGAGTGGTTTTTTCATTTCCTCTCATTTTACAGATAAGCAAACTGAGTGCCCAGGATCACACCATAAATGTCTGAGACCGGATTCGAACTCACAGAGAAGAGTCTTCCTGATTCCAGGCCCCACACTCTATCCGCTGCACCACCTAGCTGCCACCTTGATGAATATTTAGGGATTTTTAGCACTTAGTAGTTGCCAAATCCTTCCCTAAATGCTCAGAAACACTCATAGCAACAGGAGCAATGAGGTGGCTCAATGGATTTGGGAAGACCTGAGTTTAAATCCAGTCTAAGACACTAGCTGTGGGACCCTGGGCAAGTCACTTCACCCTATTTGCCTCAGTTTCCTCATCTGTAAAGTGAGCTGGAGAAGGAAATGCCAAGAAAACCCTAAAATGGGGTCACAGAGTCAGACATGACTGAGGAATGACTGAACAGCAAAAGAACCACCACTACCAGAGATGTGTTAGACTGGACAGAGACCAGAGACTGAGCTCCCTTGAGCTTCAGGCCCACATTACCAGTCGCCTCGAGGACATTTTGCACTCAACATGTCCAAACAGAGCTCGTTCTTTCCTGTCTTCTAGACTTCCCAGTTCATGTCAAACGCATCTCCCTCCTTCCATTCTCCCGGCTTCACGCCCTCAGCGTCTCCCTCACCCCGTACGCGCTATCAGTCACTAGATCTGACTATTTCTACCTTCACAACATCTCTCATCCCTGACCCCTTGTCTGCACTCAAAGCTCCCACCTTAATTCAGACCCTCATCACCCTTCCCTAGAGTATAACAACAGCCTTCTGATGGATCTCTCTGCCTAAGGTCCTCCCCGTTCTACACAATGCTGCCAAAGTGATTTTCTTTAAACGTGGATCTCACTACGTAACTTCCTCACTTAATTCAACACCAGTCCCCTACCCCAGTTGCCCCCAGCCTCTAGAATCAAACATTAATTCCTCTGTTTAGCTTTTAAAGCACAACCCTACAGAACCTGAACCCAACCTGTTTTCCAGCAACCTGTAAGCCAACCAAACTGGTCTTCTCTCTGTTAACTCGCACCTAACCCTCCATCTCCCATCTCTGCCTTCACACTGGCCATCCCCCATGCCTGTAATGCGCTCCTCTTTACCTTTGCCTCATGGAGTCCTTTTCCTTAATGGCATAGCCCCTGCACCATCTTCTGGGCATACACTTCCCTGATCGTGCCAGCTGCTAGTTCCTTCTCTCCCAGACTTCCTTGTATCTAATAAACATGTTTGTGCTGTATACATTTATATTAGAGAAATAATTATTAACAATCAATGATGTGGGGAGATCTAGATTTCCCCTTTTTTCTTCTATCCTCATTTCAAGACCTCAGTCTCTGAAGGTTGAGCCAACCTTCTCTGACCAGAGCCCAGCCAGGTGAGGCAGCCATTGTGCTCTGCTCAGGTTGGGTGGGGATGAATTCTTTGACCATATTACCCAAGGTAATATAATTTACTTCTATCTTAGAAGTAAATGACGTAGTTAAAGTTCAGGTCCAGCCCTTCATTGTAATATTCATTCTCTCATTAAATATTAACCAATCAGAGTTGATTGCCACTCTTGGGAACACCCCTCTTTCAATGGCACATAAGCCTGAGCCTGGTCGCCATGATTGTTTGGTCTGAGACAGTCAAATAACTATCCTTTTATTAAAATGCTAGCATTATTTAAAAAATTATTAAATTACCCACAAATTATGTCTCTCAAACTTTTTTAAATGCCACGTATGGGTCCTTGTCTTCTTCATTAGAATGTGAGCTCCTTGGAAGAGGGGGTTGGTTTTCTTTGTATTTGTAGCCCCAGTACCTGGCACATAGAAAGTGCTTAATAGTGATTTGATTGATTAATTCATCCCATTGGAGCCTCACCACAGTCTAGTAATGCTAAAGTAAGGAACTGATCTTTCAAGCATATGTTCTGGGGGCAGCTAGGTGGTGCAGTGGATAGAGCACCGGCCCTGGATTCTGAAGGACCTGAGTTCAAATCCGGCCTTGGACACATAGCACTTACTAGCTATGTGACCCTGGGCAAGTCACTTAACCCCATTGCCTAGCCAAGAACAAAAAAAAAGAATATGTTCTAGAAATTTTGCCAGGCAGTAGGCAAAGAATCAGCTAGAAAGATGTTCAATACAGGGGGTGGGAAGGAGGGTGATGCCTAGAAAAAATAGGAGGGGAAGTGCTGGTGTGTTTTTGGATAATACATTACCAGTGGAGCTTTCAATAGAGCATTTTTTTTTTAACAGCAAAATGACAACTTTTGGTAAAAGCTACAAAACTATTCATACCCTTTGCCCCAGTGATTCTGCCTCCTAGGGCTATATCCAAAGGCTGATATTGAAAGGGGAAAAATATCTTTGTGTGCAAAGGTATTCGTAACAGTACTATTTAGGGGCACCTAGGTGGCACAGTGGATAGAGCATCGCCCTGGATTCAGGAGGACCTGAATTCAAATGCAGCCTCAGACACATAACACTTACTAGCTGTGTGACCCTGGGCAAGTCACTTAACCCCATTACCTAGCCAAAAAAACCAAAAACCAAAAAACAGTACTATTTAAAATAGCAAAAATCTAGAAATGATGCATTTGTTCAGTGACTAGATAATAAACAAAATAGGGTGGATGAATCTAATCAAATTATTGCAGCATAAGAAATTTCAAGTATGAAGAATGCAGAGAAATAAAGAAATACAAAGAAAATGGCGTCAAGATGAAAATTCTTATGTTTACAGGGATAATGTTTGCAAAATATCAAAGCAAGAAAATACATAGAAGGAAAAGAATTTATAATAGAATATGAAACAAATAGTGTATTATTATTATTATTATTTTGTTAAAGTCAATATATACATTTAAAAATAAAGTTAAAATAATCATTTTTTTGAAAAAAGGAATTCTGCCAGGAATAAAAATGAAGCTCCCTTTTGCCCAATTCGGGGATTATACATTTTTCCTGTTTTGAAAACAGGAACAATATTTTCCCTTGTGGCACCTCTCTGAGAGTGACTCAGGAATCAGGGAGACAAGTCCTTTCAGTAGCGTAGGGCATAGTTTATCCAGGCCTTGGTGACTTGAACTCATTGAGGGTCAGGGGGTCCTTTCTTAATCCCTCCTTCCGTGTCTTGGCTTTCAAAGTTTACCCCTACTTTTCCAATCTTACAACCTCCACCACTCCCCCTCCCCCACTCCCCCTCCCCCACCCCCACCAGCATAAGTTGCTGTTCCTCAAACAAAACTATATCATCTTCTGGCTGGTCATTTTTCTCTGGCTCTCCCCCATGCCTCAGAAGACTCTTTTCTTCATCTCTGCTGCTGGCTTCCCTGGCTTCCTGCAGATCCCAGCTAAAATGCCACCTTTCACAGGCAGTCTTTCCTAATTCTAGTGCCTTTCCTCTTGGTTATTTCAAATTTATCATTTATATAACTTTGTACACCATTGTTTGCATATTGTCTCCCCGATGAGTATGTGAGCTCCCTGAGAACTGGGACTGTCTTTTGCCTTTCTTCGTTTTCCCAGTACTTAGCATAGTGCCTGACCCATAGTAGGTGCATAATAAATGTTTACTGACTATCAAAGATTGATTTAGAG